TTTAAACCCTAACGTTCAGATCTCGTGCCATCTGATATGTTCTCCATAGGACATAAAGAGACCTTGTAATTTTGGATTCCTACCTATGCCAACTCAGGTTTGATGAACTCTACTCATATTATATTTACTGTTTACGTCACTTTCCCTTTTCCCATTGATCACAAACCCCACCAGTCATGCCTTTATTCTGACTGTAATACTCATGCCCGACTAGTCGACCACGTTGTAACAAGAAGCGGTTACCAGCCGTATTGCTTGTGATTTATGTGTTCTCGTGAGTGACAGCCCACTGCCAAACGCTGAAAATTTATATTGTGGTAGTACGCTTTTCATTTGCGTTCGTCCTTGAGGCAAAGCGGATCCGCCGAACGATTGGAATGCAGCCGCCCTATGAAACTTTGGGAAAGATCTATGACCTCTACAATGACGTAGAATATCTCTCTCCATCTGGCAGACCTGCATTTCTTGATTTCATACGTCTCCTAATTGGAACCGTCTCACTCGCCAACATGTCCAAAGACATGAGATGAAACTGATTCAGCCTAATATTGAACTAGAAACTTGGCCTGTAACAAAAAATGGATCAATCATCAGTTCTGGAACGCTGAATTAAAAAAAGTAATGTGGACAAAAGGATCAGTAGCCTAAACTCAGATACAAGTCCCAGACCGGCAGTCATCTCAATCGGGTTCTGAATCATTTCCTACTGATGAGCGCAGAAGCTTACTGCAGCAGCACTGCCATCCCTTTTTCAACTGCGGAGGTAATGAGATGTCTGAATCCTGTTTGCATGGACATTCGGCCTGATTGCTTCGTATCGACTAGTCACGGATCCACGGATCGATACACAGGATCGAGGCTTTTGCCCAAGTTTCCCGGGTCGGTTTTGTTCTTGTCGGTCAGTTGCTGTCGTTCACCTGAAAGGCACAAGTGAAAGAGGGCGTAGCACTGCTCTTTACGTTCTCAGAGCGGGGCAGTGTGCTCGCCAGCGCGAGGTTTCGCATAAATAAATGTCTAATGGTGCTTTAAATTGGGTTCCAGAAGGAGCGTGTACAACCGTCGGAGGAAGGTCATTCCACGCAGCTACTACCCGAAATGAGAAACATTTTGTCTGATGAATGCGTGTGCTCTGAGCTTTAAAATTTTCTTACTATGTCCCCGCCGTGTGTTTGCTGGGTCAACGGTAGAAAACATGTTTGCCAAGCTTTGTTCAAACAGGGCATAATTGAGAATTAAGTCCCCTCGGAGGCGACGGCACCACAGGGGAAAGAGATCAAGCATCGCGAAACGCGTATAGTAGTCAACGGATTTGAGGCCGGTAACCGTTCTCGTAGCGGCCCTCTGGACACGCTCGATGAGGGTAACGTCTTTCGTGAGTCCTGACCAGACAACTTGGTTGGCGCACTCCAGCAGCGGCCTGGCGTAGTCCCCA